GGAGCGTACGTATCGTGCTTCTATTCCGCTTGCAATAGTGCCTTCTGCTGCACCTGAACAACCGCAATTTTGAGCATTCCAAGGTCTTCGCATCAATCAAATTTGCCTTGGGTTCTCAACACTTGAAATCAACATGAGTTTGTCATAAACTCACCTTCTTCACGTTCAGGTAACGTTATTTTCGGTTTGTCCACCTGCCGCTTCCCTGCATTAAGTTGGTCGTCCAAAAGCGGTATATTCTCCCCGAATGCATTCGGTATACATACATACATGGATTGGCGTCATCCGTATCCAATGGCATTTTGAATTCAACATATGGACATGCGTTTATGCAAGCTAGTGAACTGGCACAAACTGGGTAGAGACACATTAGACCTTATGATCAATGGTACTACAAAAGTGTATGGGGTTCGTTTGGAGGTCAGACTAACAGCCACTTTCGCAGGCATGAGAATGAGTACCCAATAAGAACTGTTGGTGTTTTCTTCAACATTTAGACGTGACAGCCTTAAATCTTGTGTATCCATAAATGAAGGAACCCGATATAGGGATAGTAAAGCAACTGGTAGGTAGAATAATAAGTAAACAATGGTAGAGTGAAATAGTGTGCACTTAGATGTTGCCGTCTAGATGTACAGTCTGGTTTGCGTAGCTGATGGAGCAGATCGTACAGCATGAGAATGTGATGTAGGGTCCACTTCTGGCTATCCGTGTCGCTGACGGCTCTGGTAATCTGCTGTCCGAGGTACGTGCTGATTCTCAAAAAACGATTGACGCGCAAAATTTCATATTGACAGGTGACATGAACTAAGTCTCGCTGCCCACTGTCAAACATGCGAATTTTCAGACAGTGTTCGCACTGTTTGGCAAATGTCCAAGTACTCAACCGTTTGTACACACCGATGTGTACGTTGCTGTGGCCATAAGCTATTTGATAGCAATCTGCGTCCTACGTCTCGGGTGTAGCCATTCGGTGCTCAGAAAACGACTGTCGCTATGCCCCGATTCCTTTCCGATGTAATATACTGACACTGACTTACCATTCCCCTTGAGTTTGACCTTTTACTTAATCTCTCCAAAAGATTGGCCATGTGAAGCGCAACTTTTGGTATGCGTCTCTGCGCTTCCGCCTTTGATCCGCTTAGTACATGCGTTTTCATAAGCCTCGGTAAATTCAGTATGGTTGATGAACAACTGGAAATATAACTCTGCTCATCCTCACCCCTAACCTGCGGAGCGGAACATGAACTGTCGACATCGTGATAACCGCTAGTCGGTTAATTGTCGGGATTGTTCACTTACCACAGAATTTCCATGGGAATTGCTCTTTGAATGCATAGTACAACGTGGTCACACGAGGGACAATCGTTGAGCATTGTATTCCAAATGTCAAACTTTACACTTTATGCATACAGTAAGCGGCCAAACGCTGGTAATCTTTTGATTTAAACCTATCCATCGAACTGGAAACATACTCAACAATTTGCCACCCTAGCATTGCTCCGTAGCAAGCACACAATTCGCTCGGAAACTCCGCGGGCACGTCAGATACGAATGAGCTCATGGAATGCCTGGACCATTAGGTTGCGACGCACCGGCTTTCTAAGCGTTGTGCTAGTTAGCAATGGGCAGCTGGTCAAACTAGGGTCATGTAATCTACAAATCGATTTTAAGGAGCAGACTGTAGATAGCATAGTCTGGTGTGTAATACAATGGAGCTTGCATGGTGCTGTGAATCGCGACCGAATAATAATACGAAGAGGAAGATGCCGTAGCTCACCGTCTCGGTATATCACCATACTAGACTCCGATTGAGAAGGTAGCAAGAATAGCATGGGTCATGATGAGCACAACATTGCAATGGGCAACACGTGAAGTCATTGCGAAATACAACCGAGTTAAGTAAGCTCAATAAAGGTGGGTTTTGTGGCTCATCCGTTCTAAGCTGGTGCAATAAAGATAGTACATTGCACCAAATCAGTAGTTAATCATTTTAGAGTAAAACTGTACCCAAGAGAACTTAAATGCAGGATATAGAATAAGGATGACACAAAGAAAATGAAGGAGATGGAGTAAGCAACTTTTCAAGTTAGTAGGAAAATGGTGCGATTAAGTCCCCTGCTGTTCATAAGCTCAGCTAAGTTAAAGTCCGCGGTGAGAGAACGAGATTTATAGCTATGCTCGCTTTAATAAAGAAGTAGAAGCACAATGAAACAATGATGACTAATCGTTGGTGTGTGCTGTGAATGCCGTCTTCCATATTAACTGAGGGCTATCCGTGTCGGAAGTAAACTAGAGCCGGTCCGGTCGTCTCTTGTTCGAGGTGAGCGAGAATTAACAGGGATGTAGAACCACCAGGCAGTCCGTCCTGTGTTACTATATATTTCCCCATGGTCTTTCGGTCTGACCGCTAGCACATCTCGACCAATTCATCAGCGCCTAGAATACTACCTGGGCCCAAGCATTTCGATTTGCATGTCACATCGTGTTGCCGCTGTTCCGGGATCAAGCTTGAAGACTAGTCTGAATCTCAGTGTGTTTACCTGAAGGCTGCAGCAGTATAAGGGTGCGTATAGAGGCACTTGCGATGGGATGCATTGACCTCATATTGCAACCCCCAATAAACCAAGGTGTCACATGAGAAGAAATGTAATAAGACCCATCTGTCAAGTGGGAACGTAGCGAGACACGCACAGATGTTAGAGGGACTTGTAATTTGGGCGAGCCCCATTTAGACATCGGACCAGTAGATACTGGTGTTACGCGAGTGAAAATGCCATCAGACTGAAGTGTGGCGCTTACACATGTTGCTAAATGGCTTCCACTTGGTCATTCAGCATGAGATATCAGTTGACATAGCAAAGGTCCGTGGTTCGAGTTGCAGTACTGCAGTGTTGCGAACGGGCATTTGTTCACACTTGTGTATGGACTACCACACACTGGATGGAGAAACAATAACCCTAATGAGCAATAACACTACGAACATGCCCGAGTATGAATTGAATGTAAGAATAACAGCCATCTTCCACTCGTGTTGAAAGATCCCACATGCAGTTAGAAGCAACCAATAGGACTGTCGTTGGTTAGTTAACATTTAAACGTCAACCTAAATGGCAGCCATAAATTTAGTCACAAGTGTGGGCATCAACAATAGCTAGAGTCAGATAGAGAAATAGGGAAGCAAATGTCATCAATGGGATTACCAGGTGGAATGATGCAAATTAACGGGTACCATAAAACTATGATGTCTTATCGTTAGTGTGTTGCAGATGCCGTCAGCTATTTGCTTTAAAAGGCGGTAATATCACAGCTTCTCTGATAACCGCTATGGCGCGAACAAAGAAAAAATTCATCTAGTCAATCCCGCTGTGCCCTCTACTACATTCGGATTTCTAAAAAGTGTTCAAACTATTTTAGTACCTTGACAAGAAGTAGCTTGCATAACATCCAATTACGCAACCGTTGTCTAATGTGGCTGTATACTCAACTGTAGCGATAAGCTGTTTATGCAAACGGCAGACTCGGTGTGAGACTCGAGTGACCCGTAAAACCCTGATCCAAACAAGAAAGGAATCCGAGACGTTAACTGCGGTGTAATTAAATAAAATACAACTCAAGTGCAAAATGTACATACCTCAGTTATATATATATATATATATATATATATATATATATATATAAAATTAACTCACCTGCTCTTGATTCTCGTCAAAGAAAAGTGTAGATGAATATGATGAACACAATACCCAATGAGCATTGTCCTCTAGTCTGAGCTATCCGATTTTATTGTGTGACCCCAAACCCAATATTATTGTGCACTTGTCAATGCTTGCTTTTATCCCGATTCAACCATTTCTTTTAAGCTCTTCCTGTATGACAGTTTTCCACTACCACTCCGTACCAATACACCACGAGCACTAATTCTCTGTTTTGTCCCTTCTACCTTGTAAACATTTCCTCGCTCAGTTACGTGGTAGGCTAGTAACACATTAGCTTTGGTACAGTTTATTTTCTTATTAATTTTGTTTGGTGACTGATTGATGACCCCATCCTTGTACTTACATTTACCCCCTGTAAACTTTCATTTTACCACGTTGGAGGCAATTGCCCCAGGATGAGAACCATTGCTATTAGACAGATAACTACTTATATTTGAACAGAGAGCTGGCTCCATCCAGCGTATTGCAACAGCTTAAGTGCGACGTAGGTAGAGGGGATTAGAGTGACATAACACGATTATGAACGCTGATCTGAGTCGTATTCGGTAACGCGTAGTCAGTTGGTGTTTACATATTGAAGGTAATGGAAATGTAGGGGGAATGGATCCTGGTCAATTTCTTGGTGAACCCAATGTGGCTCGTGTTTCTTTATTTTGGAAAGTCAAAGTCTGGTTAACGGGCTTCGCTGCCACACATGAATTGGTATATGCAATGTGATTTGGCCTTTATCGGTTGAGCTTACTTCGAGATCAAGCTGTTTGCAGTTTCAGAAGGTAAAACCTAGTTGACTTTATACGATTCCTCTAGCAGATGGAACTAGAGAAGCAGGCTGATAAAATGTCGAGTTTGGAGCCTACGTAACGCATTATTATGTGGTCTGTGTAGTGTGTCTATTGATCATCGTTATATTATGCAATATGCAAGGTAGGAGCCAAGGCTAATGCGAATAGCTTTAGCCTAGACATTGTGTCAAATGACTAGGATACTGCGTGTCATATGGCAGGTGGATTGTAAGGATGTGTGTAGGGGTGTGCTCGGAGCGCTCGGGCAACTGACGACTGAGTCACAAGAACAAACAGCGAAAAGAAATCAACCGAAGTTTTTCTACCTGTCAGAACCGTCAGACAACTTCAGCGGTGAGGCTGCCTAAAGAATGTCTCAGAAAAGCGCCGTAGCTTAGTTGGATATGCAAAATTAGTGAATGCACCTGAAAAGTTCATCAGTTTTTGGCTCATAATTCTGATAGAACACGAACAAAGAATGGAGCGGTGGAAGACTTACATCAATGCGTCCAAAATCAGGTTGAAAGTTCTTCGCCGGATCTTCTGTAGTCACTCGGCATTGGATAGCATATCCGTGGGTTTGAATATCCTCTTGCCGGATACCCAGATCACTCAGAGTTCTTCCCTCCGCCAGTCGAATTTGCATTTGAACCAAGTCGAGACTGAAGAAATGATTAGAACATTAAGAGCGCTGATTACAGAGTGGCGCCGAAAACAGGTTGGACGTCCCAAGTGTAAGGGGCGGTATGGAGTTGCCTTACCCGGTGACTTCTTCAGACACCGTATGCTCCACTTGCAAACGAGCATTGACTTCCATAAAATAATGGTTGCCACTATTCTGATCGTACAGGAATTCCACCGTTCCAGCGTTGGTATAACTGTGTGGATGTATGCGTGTGTAGGGTGAAATAAGACAGTAAGACAATGTAAATATGCCATGGGTGTTAACGCACAAGAAAAGAAGCTCTGACGTGGGTCAAGCTCAATTTTCTCAAAATGGGTTGTGCAAGATATGTGACAATGGGAGATACATATTGTCGAGGGTGAAGATATCGTGAGACACACAAATTTCCTCTCGAAAGTTCAGGGTAGCAAGAAATTTGACCGTATAAAAAGTCATCATCATTCATCGGTATGCACGTCAGCTAGAGGTGGGAAACATCTCAGCTACTGTGCCGCAATACATAAAGGAAAAAGAAAATAAATACAAAAGTTGCGTACCAGTAACGGATAGGCATCGTTGCGGTAAGCTACCAGCCGGCCACAATGCAAAAAGAAAAATTATTATGTTTTACGCTAAGATATGAGATCGTAGATGGAGGGGAGGCTAAAAGGGATGGGGAGGGACAAAGAAACTCACAGCACAAACGCCACTGAGGTCGGCTCCTTGTTATGTCAGCAAGTGTATCCAGCCGAAGGTGTTCATCGTCTATTGGACCCAAACCAGGGAGTTGTGAAGCTCCAACCGAGGCCAGCTCCGAAGTGGGGGCCTTCATTCCTCTGGATCAAGTCATCGCATGGCCGCCCCTCCTATTCTTCTGTCCACATCTCCGGTGAGCAAACAATGCACTTCGTGGAAGCTGGTAGGCTGGCATGCGCAACAAGTCCCCGAGCTATCGGAGCCTGATGCTTGAAATAACGGTGCTGAGCGATTCAGTTACCTTTCCCTGTGCCGTAAACGAGGCGTCGAACACGCCCGTTGCTCACGCGGTGTTCCCACCAGATGTGAGCCAAACTGCGAAGGCACCGATGGTCGAACATAACTAGCATCTTTATGTTCGAAGATATTAGGGGCCAGGTTTAGCAACCGTACAGTAGGTCGAACGTACCGCTGCATTGTACACTCTACCCTTCAGGGCTAGAATAATGTCGCAACGCCGCCAAAGGTGGCGAAGGTTAGCAAAAGCACTCCGAGCTTTTGCTATACGGTTCGTGGTCTCGTCTTCGAACCCAAGGGCGCTGATACAAATCCCCAGGTAGTTGGATTACCGAACGACTTCGAGCTGATCCCCACCAAGGGTCATTGCAGGAGGCAATCCTTGCCAATCTTGAAGGAACGTTTTGCACTTCGATGGTGCAAAGCAAAGCCCGGAGCGGCTGACAGCCAGTGGTAATCTGTCCAGCGCGGATTGGCACGTCTGGGAGCCGTCCCAGATGAGGACAATGTCGTCTGCATACTCCAAGTCAAGAAGTCGTTCTCTTGGGAGTAGCTCCACACCTTCCATGTCATGTCCTGTAAATGCAATCTCCATGACTTTGTCAATAGCGAGGTTGAAGAGGAAAGGTGACAGCGGGCATCCTTGTCTCACACCGCTGGATATCTTGAAGGGTGGCGACAGCCTATCGTACGCCTTCACTCTGCCCGTGCTACACGCGTATAATGCTCGGATAATATTTACATATTTCTCGGGCACACCTTTCCTGAGTAAACAATTCCAATGGGCACATCGATCAACCGAATCTAAGGCACCTTTGATGTCAAGGAGCACGAGTACGGTGGGCTGCGAATATGTGTGACGGTACTCCAACAACTGAAGCAAGGTGAAGATGTGGTCGATGCAGTCACGACCCCGACGAAACCCGGCTTGCTCCTGGTTTTCACGAGCGTCATCAGTCTGTGAAGGGTTATGGAGGCGAGTACTTTGGAGGCGATGAAGATCAGACTGATTCCTCTATGGTTGCCGCATTCCAAAGGCAAGCCTCCTTTGTAGATGGGAACAATAAAGTAGCGGTTCCAGTCGGTTGGGACAGTCTCCTGCTCCCACAGTTTCACTAGTAATTCATGTAAAGCATCAACGAGAGCAGAGCCTCAGAATTTGAAGAGGGCTGGAGCAGGATCACCTGGTCCCGCCGCTTTGTTTAACTTCAACAGTCCGATCTCACGTTCGGCTTCTGAGCGAGAGGGTGGATCCAAAGCGACAGCCCACGGACCAGAGCGATCACTGGCCGGCGAAGAATCGGACAATTCTAGCCGGTTAAATTGCTTTTCAAAATGCTCAGTCCAAAGCTCCAAACGTTTTGACAAATTGTGGATAAGCTGTCCAATCTCCTCACGTATAGTTTCACTAACATCAGGTATCCTGTTGCCCGTTTCCCGTATCAGACGGAATAACTTGCGATGTTTGCCAAGGGCAGCGGCCACTTCCATCTCTGACGCACGACGTGACCACCAAGATTCGCCGTCTCTCTTCAGGCTAGCACGGAGCCTTGCCCGGAGCTCTTTGCGCGTTTCATTGTGTTCACTTCCAGCCGGGATATGCCGGCGAGCGTCGATAAGTTCCACAGATCGCAAAGAGACCCAATATCCAATTTGGTTATTAGACATACCACATGAGGGTTTGCCTGCTGCTAGTAAGGTCTGGTGAACATGTGACCAGTGACCATCAATTTTCTCCCGTGAGCGCTTACTCAACTCGCATGTCAGCGTACTTCGATACGCATTCCGAACAGCTGGCTTTGTCAGTTGGCTGGAATCAATGCGCTCATAGCGTCGTCGTGGGCATCCGCCAAAACACATCCGCATGTCAGCACATGTAAGTGCATGATCGGTGTCCACACATGTGCTCCAAATCGAGCGACAATTCTGGATGCAGCCTCTCCAGCGGTAACTAATAGCAATGTGATCGATCTGTGTCCAAAGCTGGTTCGGGGCTGGTGGGCGCCAAGTCACCCTCGGGTGGGTGCTGTGGCGGAAGTTAGTGATCGCAAGAAATAAGCAGACATCTTCACATAAATGAAGTAACCGTTCACCGTTGTCATTACGGGAGCCGACACCGAGCTGACCGTCCAGATGTATTTTATCCGTGAACAGCTTTTCAACTTGTGCGTTCAGATCCCCCGCCAGCACAATAGTGTCCGTGCTTCTTCCGTGGCGAAGGAGCTGGGTCAGTTGGCGGTAGAAGTCGTTTTTTACCGAATCATCGCTACAGTTTGTGGGCGCGTAGGCAGCGATGATGAATAGACACCCATTAGTCCTGCGCGACTTCGAAGCTTTGAACGAGCCAGCCAAATGAACCGCAGACATCCGGATACTGATTAGAATCCAACCAACCAGAGCAGCTTCAGTCCGGGGACTCAGGGCAATGCCAATACCAGCTTGACCGGTGCTCGAACCTGCGTCCTCATCGGATAGGGCCAATGAGAAAATACTGCTTGCGTCACCTGAAGGGGATCGCAGCGCGAGCACAGAGCTCGAGTCTTGAAAGCGGGTTTCCGATAAGCAACAGATATCGATCGAGAGGGTCTCCAATGTTCGGGCAAGTGCTGCCTGTTGGCCGATCTGTACCAATGTGCATACCTTGAGGCATGATAATCTGAAGGAGGATTGAGGGCTCCAAATGGATGCCGATGAACTGGGCTAGGCCGTTTGGTTGGACATGGGCTTGTCGACAGGGCAGGAGTGACGATCCGCGTTAGCATGTGAGTTGAAATTAGAAGGTAAATGCCTAGCAAAGCATGTTGGGGGAGGGCCAAGAATCGGGGAGTTGAAAACTGGGGGGATATAAGTGAAGTTGGAATGGGACGGTAAGAGTGAAAAAGCGTAAGGGGGGAATAAGGAGATAAGAAGGCTAAAGCATTAGCATCCAAACCCCGTTGATTATCCTCTGCGGAGGCCAGAACATCAAGAAACTTTTTGAAGAGAAATTCATTGTATTGCATGGGCAGGGTACTGTCAGGTTGCCTAGGCCTAGACAAGAGAACGATTAGGGTTCTCAACCAAAGCCTTTATTCAAAAATCTGACCGTAAGACAGCGGGTTTAGCGTTTGGCTACAATGAGTCCGTTTTAAGGAATAAGGTGCCACCCTCATTCCAAGCCCCAATTTGGAGGACCAGGACGGTGAGTTTGTCTAGCCTCTAACCACTGACCAATCTGGTATGAGTGACGCTGAAGATGCAAAACCACCACCCAGCATAGCTCAATGGATCGCTGAGACACACAAACCATCGCACCAAAGTAAGGTCTAGCCTCATTGCGATGGATATAACAGGTGATTTCTACCTCCATCTCGATTTCGTTTATCGTTGTTGCACCGATAGGCACCTGTATTCTACTGCCAATATAACAGGTGATTGGCAGTAGAATACAGGTGCCTATGGGTACAACAGCGATAAACGAAATCGAGATGGAGGTAGAAATCACCAGTTGAATGAAACAGAAGCAACGGAAGCTAAAGCCCTCGAGCAGTTCGATGTGGCTTGGTAACAAATAACCAAACCGATCACATGATCTGGGGAGGAATCAAGATGCTAGAAGCGCTTCACAATCGTTTAGAGCGAAGTGGACATGTCTCAGAACGTTCCTTTGATTTTATATTGTAAATACACCGGTCCTAAATGGTAATTATTCAATAACACCGTGGTAGTTGTTAGCTTCGAGTGCTGCAACCATGATATATTGCTATAGGCTCGGAACGGTAAGGGTCAAGCGTCGTTTCTTATCCTGAGGATCAGTCAGTAATCATAGACTTCTGCTGCCGTGCACGGATTCGTTATTTGCTAAAACTCTGGAGATTTCGGCTAAAAAGCAGTCGTTCTACCTCTGCAAATATCCTCGGCAGATATTTAGGGCTGAAGTGCGATACAAGAAATGTAGCCTCAAGATCTTACCATGGCAGCAACAACACTTGAAAGCATAATGGTGGTAAAAATACAGAAAAAATGCTTGAACTTCGCTGGCAATAGGAAGTACGGAACTCACGATTCAGTGTCAAAGTGTGTTAAGCGCTTTGGAGTCTAATTGTTAAAATTCGATCGTGCCAAAATGGATGCCCACAGCCTAAACAGGAATGCACTGTATTATTATTACTAATGTTAAAGTTGCATGCATAAATTCGGCTTTCTCGATTCCAACTGTGACATAGTCAAAGACTTGCAACAGTCGAGCTGTTGCAACTTCCTTTGAAGGAGGAAGGTGCGCTGAACGCCGTAGACCAATTGTGCTAACCAATTCAATCTCAAGAAGTGATCTTCAAACACTTGTATTGGTTGCACAGGGCGATTGCAAACGTACCCAACGGATTTTGCGAGTTGAATGGCATCCCGAAACATGGATGCACGAACGTCGGGCCGCAAATGTGGAGCAGGGGCAACTTCCACTACCTTCTGGTGTCTTCGCTGAACAGAACAATCCCGTTCAAACAAGTGAATCACATTACCATCGTTGTCACCTTTGGGTATGAAAAAAATCATCGTGAAATATAAGTGCAGGTGGAAATAGGAGCAAGTATGTGAATGATGCAACGGATCTCCGCTGTCGTTCTAAGGCATGTTGGCTAAATGTACCGTGTCATCAAAGTGATCGGTGCAGAGCAATTCAAACTGAACGCATATATGAGTATTGCCACTTTGCCCTCAAAACTGGTCAGTTTATCTTGCCTATCTTTTACTTGACTCTGCAGTATTCTCCTTGTTAGCTCCAACCAATGCCTCCTGACCAGCTGATTCACACCAGATAAGGGTACACACGCAATGGGTAATGCCTGACATAGGCTCACCAGTAAGAGATTCTGTCGATTCACGGTTGAGCTACACTCGGTGATCCATGCGACCTAACTACACAAGATTTTTGTCTCGGGTCGTGGATTGCCATTGCTCGTTGAAATCCTTCCGGTTGACTAGAAATTCCCAAACCACTGATGCAGTTGTGGGACAAGCAAAACTGTTTCACCTAAGTCGAAATTCATTTGCGCTGTTCAGCGAGAAGGGTTCCATAAATCGTTGTTCATGGTGCACCTTTGGAACACCTATAGAGGACGCACGAAATTAAGCTCCAGCGCTATGACCCAACGGAAGAGTTTTGTAGTCAAATAGTCAGTGCGGTATGGATAATAAAGCTGCTGGTCGACAGGACAGTACTACCGTAGTTCAAGTTAGCAATGACCATGTGTGCTACGCGATCGTAAGCAGACACACTTGAATTTAGCCTCCCCAGGAGAGCGATACGATAGTACTATTGGCACTACTGAACGAAAACTAGTGCAGAGAGTGATGGCTACAGAGGCAAACCGGTAAGTTATCAAGGTGCGTTCACGGTTAGATTTCTGGTGAACCTTTCGGGCCACATACTAATTTATAGTTCCATCTCTTTTGGGTGAGCACACACTGAATACTCAAATAAAAATGCACTACAAGACACTAATTGCTGGGGATGATTTTGTAGGGATCGCGAAGCATAACCCGTGTTGAGTCGAGGTTAAATTTGAGGCAAATTTCGACCAGATTCACTGCTACGATCGCATATAAAATGCCTGAATATTAGCCCTTACTAACTTCCGAAACTGAAACGCAGTGTCACTTTAGTCATAAGTTGCACTTTTTAGGTAGAGAATAGCAGAAGCGAAACTCCAAGTTAGAACATAATCGCGTGCAGGAGTTGTGAGCATCAATATACCAACCAGCTCAGTGGGTGGGCGCCACGGTTGATATTTTGATTGAGCTCCACTTCCATCCTACGAGATACCGATGGTCACGAAATGTCTCTCCGATGTTTATAGTGTATGAGCGTTGTTGTTCCACATTAGCTGTTTGTTTGCAGACGTTTGGTCACTGAGCCTGCTAACAAAATCATATATGCAACCGCAACCCCTCTCACCAGAGATCGGAAGTCCAACTTCAGCATGCAGACCCAGTATTGCCCAATCGTGTCTAGGTGAGCTGCGTGGGTCACCTAAGGCGGATTATTGGCTCACTGCGCAGTTTTTCCTAGGCATATTTTAGCTCCGAAGGTATATCGAATGAACTTTACCCAGTATTGTCAAAACTTGAAGAGCTCGTGAAATTGATGGCTGCTTGCCACTTTACTGTTTAGACATCCTCCAGATCAGGCTGCTGGTTTTCAGTAGCCGCATTCACTGGTATGCCGAAGGATTTTTGGCGTATGTGCACGTAGCCTTATGTTAAGCTCTGGTCCCAGTTATCCCAAGTTTACCAGTTTCGACAGCAGATGTTGCAAATCACGTTCGATATGTACCGTCTAATGAGGTAATGTCAGAACCTGATGAGTTAGTTACCACTGGTTCACGCTCGTCCAGAAACCACGTTGATTACAAAACGTAACAAGGGTTTCGACATTATTTCAGGCGTTCCACTGTGCGTGTTGTAGTTGTGTATATCAGCTGTGGTGCCTCCAAATTGCCAGCTTATTAAGCTTTGCTGTTTTCCTTCTTTACTTTGTGTATCCGTCATCAGCAAATGTGACACATATCGTCTATGTGATTCGACTACCTACTAAAGCAGTGTTATCAAGTAAATGCCATGTTGTTGGAAAATTGGTGCCAACAACTTATCAGAAATCAAAGTAGTTTGATCAGACCCTGAACTGTGGCAGTAATCACCCGACAATCGAGAAGTACAGACCTATGAGCTGAACTTGAACACATTTCATCGTGCCGCAAGCCGATGAATCAAAAAGAGGACCACTGTTGCAACCAGCTAAGAAGAAATTCGTGTCCAGAAAGGAACCACAATTCACATGCACAACCGTAACGGGCAAGGAGAAAATCATTCTTCCTTATATCGGTAGAACTTAAGAGGTAGCACAAAAGTTGTACCCTCACTCGGAGTATGAGTGATTCAAAAACGATGGAAACGATCAGGGACACCCTCCTCCAGGTTGCCGACAAACTGAGCCAAAGACATACATCGGACAAAGCCTACAAAACCTGTCAAAGTAGCAGTGGGCAAATAGAAAGAACACTTGTCGAAGGGTTAAACGGACACATGGTAGCTATCCACCGACAAAAAGTGAAGTTATTCAGACCCTCACTTGTGGATATTGAGAAGTATTTGTTTGACCTAGAGAACATCCAATTAATAGGATGTTTACAATAAATCGGAATGCTTGTAGAGCGGATTCGCTGTTCATGTTTCGGTTTGCGCTTCGAGCTTGGCGCTTTCCTTGCACACGTTTCACCACCATTAAAGGTGACTTCGTCAGGATTTTACTGCCTAGTGAGCAATCGCGCTGGATGGGTCGCCCATTCTTGACTGACGAGCAAGTGACGTTTAAACTTGACCTCTTCGGTCCATTTCCCGTGACCAATGCTTATCCGCTGTTTGATCACCGCTTTTTGCTGTCGCATGTGATTTATGACCTAGCAAATTGCTTTTTTCTCAGCTGTTGTTACGCCGGATCTAGGCTGATGCGCAAGTTTATTGTATACTGTGCAAGAAACGACGTTCATCGATCAACGGCGAACGACACGTTCAGAGAGGCTGCGCGCTACACAGCAAAGCACTGAGGAGTCACCTCCACTGGTGATGGAGCGTCTGCTGCAAAACTGCCCAGCTAGGGGGATAGACCAAAACCTGAAAAGGGGAGTGTTTACATCCTCAGTAGACACGTCTCGGTACCGATTTCGTAAGTAGATTCATTCGCTGACATCTGTATTACCCACGCGGGATCCAGTAAACCACAAATGTGAATTTCAGCACAAAACGTTTCCTAAAAACGAAAAGTACGATTGGTGTGCGCTTCAAGGGCAATTACAACTTCAAAAGTGCCAGCGAAAGCACATATTTTAGCATCAAATGAACAGATATTCATCACGGATTCCGGGTTCAACGGATTCATGCGTGTGCAACAGCTGTGTAGATCCAAGTTGAGAGAAAACCAAATTTAGGAAGTCGCTGCATGTGATTGCTACATCATATTTAGTTCAAATGCCACAGAGCTTTAAAGCATATGCTAATTTTTAATCCGGACAAAGTTTACTGTGAAAGATTTCGCAGTGTTTTACTGCTGTGGTTCTAGGTCAGTTGAAAGCTTATGCAACGGATGACCTAAGTGTTTAAACGCTTCGTCTGAGTTTGTACATTCACGAATCCCCAAGCTAGAGAGGGTTTGTTCTCGTTAGCACTTAGCTATTGAAGAGATTGATGCAGTGCAACGCGAGTCTTTCGAAAAATATGTGCTAGAAGTGTGCGGTAAAGTAAAAGAGGAGTAGTTTAAATTGTTAACGGGTTTGCAACCAACTGAACCGGGAAGGGAATTTAGTTAGCATCCGGAAAGGTGTCTACAAACTGTCTATCCGCAAGCAGCCAAGGAGCAAGTTCATATCGATACCAAGTTCAATCATCTAATACACCAACTAACTTATCAGACACCCAAGTCTTCTCTTAGCTGTGATAATTTCAAAAACTCACCGGTGCATATAGCTCACTAATACTTGATTTGTGATGCGAATTTATTGAAGAACCCGTGGAAGAAACATAGAGGCCGAAAAAGCAAATTCTGATATGATATTTTTGAGACCAAAAGATTTTTTGGTTAGGAAGTAATGAATAAGTCCGATTACGTCTCCAGGCTTCCACAACGTTTCCGAGTCATGTTAGGCCACAGTGATTTCGAGTTGCGAAGTTAACATTTTCCAGTTGATTCATAAATTATGCCGATTCTGATATAAAAAGGAAATTGCGAAGAAATTTCTTTTCAATAAATCTTTTCAAACAATCCAATTAGGAACTTTAAAATCACTGGTGAAGTAGTTGTTCCTAATGATGCGACGCAAAGTCGTACATGCTACGATCGGATGAACGGTGGCAATCTATGTCTCGTTGAACCTACTACCATTGATCACTATGCCATAAGTCAGTTGACTATGCTACGGTCATGGCAGGGTTAAACTCTGCATAAGCGCACGCTGTTTACACCATTCCGGCTTCAACTGCTTGATAGCAATTGCTACTGCTGTGGCCGGTAGGCGTTTCCTGAGTCCTTTTGTTCAGCGTTTTGCTGCTACATACACTATTTTGAAGGCCTCTTTTTTGTAGTTTATATCCCCTAGCCACTAGGTGTTCTAAGATGGATCTGTGGACATTTCTAGTGGTACAACGCTGTACTGAGGCGGGGCACTGTTCCGCTATCCGCTTTGACAGACGTCGGGTCGTGTGTCCGAGGTATCTCGCACAACAGGTGCAAGCGAACTGGTATAAGAAATAGGATTCGGACTGGGACGGAATTCTGTCTTTTAGGCGCTTGATGTTGAGCCGAACGGTTTTGGTTTGAATGCGGACTCTGGCGGTCGGGTACGTTTGGTTTAGCGCGGAAGTTAATTTCTTACTCAAGAGTTAGAACTACGTGCCTCAGTTTAAAGGCACTGAGAGGAAAACATCTCTTTTTCTCATGCTCATTTTCGGCTCAGGCTAAGTTCGGAGCTGAGAATGCTTT